ATGTCCAAACCACTGTCTGTCCTCTGGACATGTCCAAACCACTGTCCCTCCTCTGGACATGTCCAAACCACTGTCCCTTCTCTGGACATGTCTAAACCACTGTCTCTCCTCTGGACATGTCCAAACCACTCTCCCTCTTCTGGACATGTCCAAACCACTGTCTCTCCTCTGGACATGTCCAAACCACTGTCCCTCCTCTGGACATGTCCAAACCACTGTTTCTCCTCGGGACATGTCCAAACCACTGTCTCTCCTCTGGACATGTCCAAACCACTGTCCCTCTTCTGGACATGTCCAAACCACTGTCTCTCCTCTGGACATGTCCAAACCACTGTCCCTCCTCTGGACATGTCCAAACCACTGTCCCTCATCTGGAATGTCCAAACCATCTCAGTCTGGTCTCTCTAACTTTATCTCCCAGTTGTTCAACCTGTGCTGTACCTCTGATGATCTCATTCCTAATCTTCTCCATCCTTGTCACTCCTAAGAAGAACCTCAACATCTTCATTTCTGCCAATTCCAGTTCTGTCTCCTGTCTTTTTGTCCATGTCTCCTTCTCCAGACCATACAACATAGCTTGTCTCACCACTGTCTAGTAAACTTTTCCTTTGACCTTTGCTGACACCCTTTTGTCACAAATCACTCCTGAAACTTTTCTCCATCCACTCCATCCTGCCTGGACTCTCTTCTTCACCTCTTTATCACACTCCACATTTTCCTGCACGGTGGACCCCAAGTCCTTGAAGTCCTGCACCTTTGTGACCTCTGCTCCTTGTAGCCTCACTGTTCCACCTCCTCCCTCTCATTCAAACACATGGACTCTGTCTTACTACGGCTGACTTTCATTCCTCTTCTTTCAAGTGCATACCTCCACCTCTCCATTTTCTCTTCCACCTGTTTCCTGTTCTCATCACAGATCACAATGTCATCTGCAAACATTATAGTCAACGAGGATTCCTGCCTGACCTCATCTGTTGGTCGGTCAATCACCAGAGCAAACAACGATTCCAACAACCAGGAAAATGAGTCCAATCTCCTCAACACCGCCAAGTCAGTCAAAGTGGCTTTAAAATTTAAATTTTAACACGTCAGAATAAAATAACTCATTAAAGTTGGTTTAATGGAAAAGTTGAGACAAACAGGAAGATGATGTCTGACTCAGAAGGATTAAAAGAAGAATCTGCAGAACCCAGATGTTTGTTCAAATAACAAATTCAAAAACAGCCTCATTAAACCCTTTTAAAGGTAATGAAACAGATTTTTTTTTTTTATTTCATGAAAACTCGAGGTGGGTTTGGACCTGAAAACTGATCCTGGATCGGTTGTTAAACTTTAACGAACAAATGTTAGATTTTTATTTCCCCACCGTCAAACAGAAGTCAGCGTTCTAAAATAAAAACTTCTTGTTTAACGTGTTTAACGGGTTTAATCGATTTCTTCTCCGTGAGTTCGTCGGAGGAATCTGCACAAACATCATCATCTTCTGAGCTAATAAACAGCACATTAGCAGCCGCTGGTCGCCATGGAGACACATTAGCAGCAAGCAGCCGTCTCCAAGAACCTGCTGGCATGAACACACACACGGAGCGATGACATCACGCCTCCTGGCTGTGATGCGTACAGTTGTTGTTTCTACTCTGAGTCACGGAGAGATTCTTAAAGAAAAACAGTTTAGTTTAATTTGGATGAGGAGGAGGAGGAGGAGGAGGAGGAGGAGGAGGAGGAGGAGGAGGACGGCTCTCTGACAGTCAGAACCCGAGTCTGAACTAAATGAATGTGGAAAGTTTTTGGGCGACAACAGAACGGTTCTGCAGACAAACTATTGGATCCCTGCAGATGCAACTGCTGTGACCTTTGACCCCACAGAGACAAAACAACCCGACCCCATCAAAGACCAGAACCAGGACTTGAGAGATCCATCATCCTTCAGTGGATCCTTAACTGCAGGGGCTGATTCAAGAAGTCTGGTGTGGTGGTACCTGAGAGTCATTGCTGACACACACCCTGAGGGCTGACGGATGGCACATGACCCTCTCTGACCTCTGCTGGACGGCAGCGGGTGACGTGCATTTACTCAAAGAATGCCAAGCCTTTAAACTCGTCATGATTTTATTTGAGTTTAAACTGATGATAGTTTGATTCATCTACAATAAATATAAATATTTAACTGCTTTATAATTGTTGTTTACATGTGAAACAGTATAAATATTTGTCTGGTTTTAAAATCTTATGTTGTGACTGAGTCAAAGCTCCTCTGTCGTTCCTCTACCATCTCCTGCAGCACCTGTAGAGTGGGCGGTGCCGGTTTCTGAGCACCTGTCTCTGACTCCGACTGGTTACCTCACTCACTACTTAAGGCTGAGTTGGATCGTTAAATGGCACATGGTGACATCAGCCTACCACTCATGTGTGCACAGTCCTTGAGGAAATATTTCTAACGGTTTGAACTTGATGCTGCTGTTTTCCTGTTCCCTCGCAGAACCCCATGGTTCTGGAGTCAGGTTCTAGAGCAGCATCTTGAGCAGGGAGGTCCAGACATCTCTTTCCACAGCCACCTCTTCCAGCTCTTCTGGGAGGACTCAAAGATGTCTCAAGGCCAACTGAGAGACATAGTCTAATATGTCCTGGGTCTTCCCCAGGGTGTCCTCCTAGTTGGACATGCACGGAACAATTGTCTAGAGAGGTGTCCAGGGAAACATCTCAACTCAGCCCCCCCCTATCACTAAGGAAGAGTCCAGATCCTGCAGAGAACTCATTTGGACCGCTTGTATCAGAGGCGGTATCTTTCGGTCACTACCCAGTAAACAGAGATCTTCTTCTTGCAGCTCAGCTCATTCTTCACCACAACGAACCGGCCCAGCGTCCACAGTACTGCTGAAGCTGCACCAATCTCACGCTTTAAACTTTCCTCATTTGTGACCAGAATTTCAACCAACAGAAAAAAAAGTAGGATCTTTACACGCAGATGTAAAGAAACCAAACTCAACAGAAGCTGGAGCTCAGAACCGGGTCAAGACAAACCCCAGACCAGGACAGGAGGTCCAGGTCAAATTCTGTTCAGTTGTCTGGGTGAACTCTGCTTCATCCTTTCAGTTTAGCAGTTTTTTTGTTGTCTTAAATTAACTTTATTTAACAAACTCTGGTTAATAAAAACACAGAGGAGAAAACAAATTCTGGATTTTCTTTTTCCTGTTTGGTTCGTTTGATCCGATTCAGTGTGTTCGAGTTAAACAGCTGCTCTTTTTGTTCTGACTGCAAGTCAGATTTTAATCATCAGGTTGTGTTATTTCTATCCAGCTAAGAGTTTATTAAAACATTTTTTCTTTTGTGACAAACTCAGAACTCGTGATTTTTATTTTTAATATTTTATTGATTCAGACATCAGAACCACAGCCAGCCCTGAAAACACATTTATACTAAATAAAGTCAATGCTTGGATTAAAATAAGGCAAATCTTTCTCTCAGGTCAGAACTACATGTCCCACAATGCACTGCTGTGAAAACCGTCCATTATGTACAGGTTTATCAGAAGGGAAAATGAGTACGATTTATTTTTTGAGTTTTAAGAAGTTAAAATGTTTTTACCTTCATAATATAGTCATAATATATTTATTATATATAATTGTCGTTTATATATGCTCATTTAAAGATCAAATTTTTTATTTCTGTCTTTTGTTTCCTCACATGATCAGGCTTTGAACCTTTGTTTGATGTAAAACGTCAGTTTGGCCACATGAGGGCGCTGTGCTTCACAATTATCCACCAACATTTAAAACGTTTTGTTTGCTAACAAATGATAAAGACACTCAGAGTTTATTCATTAAAAAAGAAGCTTTATGTTATGGATTTGAATGTTGTATTTTAAAAAAATCTAACTTAAAAGTTCAGTAGGTACATCGTCTTTAAATCTGCACCATCAGAATAAAAGCACTTAATAATTGTTGTTTCTCATCAAGTGAACGGGACAAAATGGAGGTACGGGGGTAAAATGGGTCAGTGGAGGCACCTGAGAGGTTTTAATGTTCCTGCTTCCTGGTTCAGAACCAGTTCTGAGACTGTCGGAGACTCAGAACTGTAAAGAAAGAAACAATTCATCTGTTGCAGTTTTACTGAACTTTGTTTGTGACCAACGTGCAGACGTGTTTTGAGCTGACAGTTTTTATAAAAACCATGTCTTATTTTTGAGTGCACGACTTGTAAAACTGTATTTTGGATCTTTTTTTTTTTTCATTCAACCTTTACTTAGACAGGTAAATCCCACTGAGCCTTGAGGACTCATTTACAAGAGAGATGACAATATTTTATTGTACAGAATATAGATCTAGAACTGTAGAATTACATAAACCAAACTGCAAAGTCTTTCAGACGCCTGCGATGTCTCTGTGAGCTTCTGAGAGGAGGTTCAGAACCTGTGCAATCGTTTTGAGACATTTTGGAGACTAGTTGGTGAACTCCAACAGTCGCGGCCCAGTCAGGTAACACCTTTACTAAACCATCCGATACATGGACATAGAAGGTGAGGAGGTGAACTACAACTCCCAGGGTGCATCTCACTAAAAATAGATCAGTTTAAACTGGTTCATCCGTCACTGGCTTCATCTTCAGCTGCTGGGACAGAAAAAGGGAGAAAGAGAAGGACTTCACTAATCACGTCCTGGCTCTTTAAGTCCATCAGATTCAAGTGCTCTGGTTCAGAAAGTGTCCTGAGACTGAATGTTGCTCCGTCAGAGTTGGTGTCCTCAGAGGATGATCCGTTGCAGCAGCTGTCCTTCCCTCATGGTCATATCTGCTTCATGCAGACTCGACAGCGGCTGATTCGTTTGTGCTCTTCCAGTGAGTTTCCAGTATCGAACCAACCTCTGGGTTTTCTGCAAAACACCACAGAGAAATGAGAACCAGCCTGCAGGTGAAGCTCACCTGCTCTGAGCTGCAGATTAGGAAGAAGACGCTGCCACTTGCAGGTTGTTGAGCAGATTACAGCAGGATAAAAACGAATTTAAATAAATGGAAATGGCATTAAAATACAACATTTTAGAGATCACAATAATAAATATCAACTTTAGATATGTCTGTAAAAATTCAAACCCTGTCTCAGTAAACACGACTTATCTTCTGCTAAAATCTCTAAGGTGTTAGATGGAGTTTTCCTCCAATTATCATCCAAGTCTGTAGATCGATCAAACTCTGGATTCATTCATTCAACCTTTATTTATACAGGTTAGTCTCACTGAATCACAAAGACTCATTTTCAAAAGAGACCTGTTTTAAACAGACAATAAACTACAGTAAAATGCCATTAAAATAAAAGTAGCGTTATAAAATAATAAACCAAGGTGGCGTAAACAACGTAAAAATACCAAAAACAAGAACATATTTGTTTTGATGTTTCTATTGACATTATCAAATGCTTGAAACCCCTTAAAGAAATCAAGGTGGACAACTTCAGTTCCTGTTGCAAGGTGTTCCAGGTGCAGGAGCTGAGTAGGAAAAGGCCTTTTTGCCACGTTCAGTCCGCACTAAGGGAACACTGCAGGTAACGATGTCCTGAGAGCACACGTTGTAACTGCACTGACGGCGTGACATGTGGGAGGAGATAAAAGAAGGTCTCAGACCAAGGAGGGATTTATAGGTGAAAATGAACCAGTGTGAGAGCCTACGTATAGATAATGATGACCAATTGACCAAGGAGTACTGAGCAGTGATGGGTATGGTAGTTACAACCAGTTATGAATCTTAGCGCACCATGATAGACAGCATCCAACATCTGCAAGGTGCTGACAGGGGCATTCATGTAAATAATGTCACCATAGTCAATGGCCAGTAGGAAGGTAGCGGTTACAAGGCGTTTTCTGGCATTCAGAGTTAAACAAGATCTATTTCTGAAAAAGAAACCCAGTTTTAATTTCAGTTTCTTTATCAAGTTTTCAATATGTGGTTTAAAAGAGAGATGTGCATCGACCAAAATTCCCAAATATTTGTAAGAAATCTACAAACTCAATAGGAATATGGATGAGATAGAAGGAAGAGTTGCTGGCACTGACTTTCTGTTGGAAAACAACATCCCTTTGGTTTTGTCAACATTTTGCACCAGCTTGAGATGGAACAAGTCTGACTGAATGATGTCAAATGCAGACTGTAGAAGCTGGAAAACCTTGGCAACTGTATTAGCTTAGCAATAGACAACAGTGTCGTCAGCATAGAGATGCAAGGATGCGTTAGGAATGTTTTGACCATTATAAATTGTAAAAAAAGTGGGTCCTAAAACTGAGCTTTGTGGCACACCATTAGTAACCATTAGGTAGCTAGATGTAGTACGTTATGTCGAACACATTGCCTCCGACCTGAAAGATAGTTTGAAAACCAGCCAACAGAGTGATGAGAAGCTAATATCTACGAGCTTGTGGCATAAGATGTCATGATCTACAAATCATGATCTGGATTCTGCACGTCTCCTCTCAAAAGATTACTCGTTGTAAACCACCTCCTAATTGTTGATTTTTCTGGCTTAGTGGACAGTCCTTTGCCATCAGAGGTCTTATTTTTCTTGTTTTTAATCGATTTAAAGCAACAGAGAGAGACCAGGAGAATTTACAAGACCAAACAAGTTTTACACTCTCCACAGGATGGATGAACACACAACAGCTGTATGAAAACCTCTAGTTTCTTCTCAGCTCTTCATCGTTAGTGACAGGAACTCTGGTTGCTCTCTCTCATGTGTTATCTGGATGCTTGTCAAACCACAGGCCATCCTAAATCTAGTTATTGTACATGTGGGATGTGCACAGATTTAAAATACCTTCATTTTATTGAAATTTAACAAATCATGTGTTCAGATAAAAAACTTTGTTTTGGTCCAGATCTGGTACCTCTGTCGATATGTCGGTGATACTGATGTTTGTAGAGATATGTCTCAAAAAATGAGAATGTTGGAAAAAAAGTTGTTTTTTGTCATTAATTTCAGAAAGTGAAACTAATGTATTACATAGGGTCATTACAATTCAATTCAAAAATACTTTATTAATCCCAAAGGGAAATTAAGTGTTGTCGTAGCCCATCATCCTTGTTTCATTCAAGCGTTGTTATAGATGCTGATAAATGTGGGCAGGAAGGATCTCCTGCAGTGAATCTGAAGAATCTGGCCACAGATACCAATCCATCCACCCCGATCCAGCTTGCTGTCAGATCCGGTGGGCCTCTCAGTCCTCCTGGGCAGAATTCCTCCATGAGCAATGGTCACTCCTCCCAGCAGTCTGTCGAGCTCCTCGTCACCACGAACAGACAGCTGAAGGTGCTGGGGGATGATCCAGGTCCTCCCGTTGTCACGAGCAGAGTTTCCCATCAGTTCCAGGATCTCGGCAGTCAGGCACTCACGCACCGCAGCCAGGTTGACGGGAATTCATCCACGGAGCCTCCTTTTCAACTCATTTGAGATTTGGTGCTGTAGTTGAGGTATTTGAGCTTTTGAGATGTTAATCAGATGCTCCTGGTTGTTAAAAAATACCTTGTTGTTATGGTTACACATCATAACAAATGTCCAAAAGTAAAAAGATTTCAGTAAAAATCCTTCCAGCTGCACAGCATCTGATACCAGAGTAAAAAAATCATCCAAAAAAAAAGCGATTTACATCCATAAAAAGAGAAAATAAAATTTTCAAAAGCAATAACTCAAACTTGAATGTAACAGAGCTGCTCCAACACATAGCCACCTTGAGCGGCACAATTCTAGAATTCAGCACACACAGAGTGAAACATTTTAAGCCTTTATTTTTTGTGATTTTAAGGTTTATAGGTGATGAGAAGCCAAAATTCAGGGTCTGAGAAAATGAGAATATTGCGAAGAGGTTCAGTCTTGGTGAATCCTGGTGTCTCACCCTAATCAGCTGATTAACTCCTAGAAAGGAGCTACAAATGTCTCATTCCTCAAGTCCAGCCACTCCTGAACCAGAGATATCAGAAGCGTCTTACCTGGCTGAGGAGACAAAGAACTGGACTGTTGCTCAGTGGTCCAATGTCCTCTTTTCAGATGAAAGCAAATTTTCATGTTATTTGGAAATCAAGGTCCCAGAGTCTGGAGGAAGAGTGGAGAGGTCCAGAATCCGTGTTGCTTGAAGTCTAGAGTGAGGTTTCCACAGTCAGTGATGGTTTGGGTCCAGCTGGTGCTGATCCACTGGGTTTTCTAAAGTCCACAGTCAACGCAGCATCTAGCAGGAGATTTTAGAGCTCTTCATGCTTACTTCTGCTGACGAGCTTTATGGAGATGCTGATTTTATTTTCCAACAGGACTCGGCTCCTGCCCACACTGACAAAAGTACCAAAAGCTGACTGTGGAATATTCTAGTTTTTTGGAATACCGACTTTTTGTTTTATTTTATTATCTGTAAGCCAGAATCATCAAAATGACAAGAAATAAAAGTTAGAAATAGTTGTGTTATAAATAGATGTAAAATATGAATTTCACTTTCCGAAACGATTGACAAAAAAAATTAGAGCTTTCCACATTATTCTAATTTTTGAGATGCACCTGTATATCTCACTTTATTGTACACTCTACTGAACTAATTCCTCCTCCCTCCAGAACTTATCTCTACCTCCTCAGGCTCTCTTCCACCTGCTACCACATCTCACTATAGAAGGTCCTCTGGACAGTAATCCATAAAGGACCTGGGTTCCTGAGCACACTGTTGAAAGGTTGTGTACCTGTGTGCGTTGTGCACACAGTTTTACCTGAACATATTGCGATGATCCAGAGCAGCCAGCCAGTAGCTGTAGGAGCCGCTGTCATATCTGCAGTGCCCTGGGCTTCCGTTACACTCGATGAAAGGCATTTTATGGAAGTTTTCCAGACAGGATCCAGGTGAAGCCAAAGGCTGGCCTGACCCCTCTGCACCCAAACCTGTTTCCTGCAGACCAAGATGCAAAGCAAAGGTCAGGGTTGTTGGTCTAATCAGAGCCTGAAACAAGAACACTTTAACTTACCATTACAAAGGAGTATCCAGACCAAAGTGCCTTCCACTTGGTGGGGCACCCTGGGATCAAACTGGTCTGACTGTGGACAGCAATCACGTTGGCTCTGGCCTCACACACAGAACACCTGAAACACATGAAATGCACCTGAAACTGTGTCACACCTGCTGACACACCTGAATTAGATCAGTTAGGGGGCTGTTGGTCACATTGTCCCTCTTACTCTCATTTTGTACCCAGCAGTTCAAGTTTCATACCACTTGAGAAAGTTTGGGTGACCACTCTTCAACCATGAACTTACCATGTGCTCTCATCCCCACATTCATAAAACCTGCACAGGATCAAACTGTGATTTACTTCTTTGTCAAAACTGTGCCATGTCCATGAAACAGTGAAGAGCCAGACATCTTCAAAAGCCTCCTCCACTACATTAAATCATCTAGCACTTGGCACAAATACGGTGTGTAAGTTACATTCCTCTCAGGTACAGACTCAACAGTGCAGCTGTATTTATGTAGATGTTGCTTGTATGAAATGCAGAGAAAGAACAACTTAACCTGCTGTTTAATTTAGGAGAGTAATTTGAATAGAGCAGAATTTAAAAATCTGTTCTATCTCCAGATTTGGGGTTATTAAGAAACATCCAAGGCTACAGACTTAAATATCCAGGAATAACCACACAAATGATGACAATTAATTTGGGTTTGACCCACTGTGAGGTGGGCATGGATAGACCCGTTGCTGATGGCTTCATTTGTTTGTTTGTATGCATGTATGGATGTACTGTGTGTATTTATGCATTTATGTATGTATGTATGTATGTATGTATGTATGGATGTATGTATGTGTGTATGTATGTGTGTATGTGTGTATGTATGTATGTATGTATGTATGTATGTACTGTGTGTATTTATGCATTTATGCATGTATGTATGTATGTATTTATGCATTTATGCATTTATGCATGTATGTATGTATGTATGTGTGTATGTATGTATGGATGTATGTATGTGTGTATGTATGTGTGTATGTGTGTATGTATGTATGTATGTATGTATGTATGTATGTATGTATGTATGTATGTATGTGTGTATGTATGTATGTATGTATGTGTGTATGTATATGTGTATGTATTATTTGTTTGTTTGTGGTTTGATTCAGTTTTAGACTGCAAAATGGCTGCAAGAACATAAACCTATTCAAGGCTCCTCAGAGCTCCAAGACCCAAATCAAACTGAAAGACGCTTTCTTTGCATCTCTTCTAAAGTGGTTTAGCATCAGTGTGCGTGAGTTACCGGCTGATTTTAGCCTTCAGCAGATCCTCGTCGCTGGTCGGCTGGTTAACTGCCAGTGGGTTGATATTGGACAGCCAGTAGGAGTAGTCGTTGCGTTCAGCATATTTACATTCTCCGGTAGGCTCACAGATCAGGAAGGGCAAGGTGCTGAAACGCTGGAGACAACTACCCAATGTTCCTGCAAGAAAACCAAGATGACGAACCAGCATCGACCTGAACTACATGAAGAGAGACCGTCAGAGCCACTCTTCAAGGTCCTACCACTGACGTTCCTACCATCTATGTTCCTACCACTGACGTTTTTTTGTTAAGAAATGTCTGAAGACCACAAAATTGGGAATATATTGGTTCTAGATATTTCAGAACATGATGGAAATACCACAAACAGATTTATACTTCCACCACTCAAGACTGTCATGAAGATGACTCTAAGCTACAACCACACCTAATGTTAGCTCAGTATCTGTAAAATCAACTGAGTTACAGCTATTTATTTGTTAGTTCAGGTGTGATGATTGTTATGGCACATGCTGACTTTAAAATATATATATTTTGCAGATGTATATCCAGTGAAACTACAACTTCATGCGAGTTAGTTCACTGTGGAGACCCCTGAAGAAGGATGCAGCCGAAAGGAAAAAAAAACCCTGTCCGGTAATTACTTTCTTAGAGTTTCATTTAAACATGTTCTGTGGTTCATGAAATCTGTTGCTAACAAACATATGGACAGGCATCATCTGACTTAGACAAATAGTTGAAAGCTGTGGTGTCATAGTACCCAGATCTTGTCCGTGAGCGCGGCTGTAGCCGTTGATGAAGAGCAGAGAATATCCGCTGTAGATTAAAGAAGATCCATTCGGACAACTTGGAACGGTGTGGTTCTGGCTGTGCCTGGTGAACAGGAAGCCATTTCTCCTTGGTGGGACAGGTAATTCACCTGGTTGTCCACAGGAACCTTTAGATCCAGGAGGACCTCGCTTTCCTGCCTGACCTGAAAACACAGAGTTGGTTCAGGAAGAGTCTTCCTGCGGTGTGAAGTCACGCTGCTGCCGTCAGACCAGCAGAGATTGTTTTAACTCACCAAGATGAGTAAAAGTCAACTAACAAAAGAATCTGTTCCCATTTAGACCTTGTTTTAATGCAGTCAAAGCAATCAGAGGGAGGAGATATCATTTCATACCCTTCGGACCAGTTGATCCTTTGCTTCCTGTTTCTCCTCTCAACCCTTGACCTCCTTGATTTCCTGTCTGACCTTTCCTCCCACTGTCACCCTTCAGACCTGAAGCCAGGAAATACAGCGCAGCATGAAACTGATTTTCCTCAATAAAAATATATGGTAATACATATCTTTAATGTAGTATATTATGACCAACCCTGAGGTCCAGGGTTTCCAGTGGGCCCTGGGAGACCTCTTGCTCCCTTGCTCCCCGGGTCTCCTTCTTCCCCTGGGTCTCCAGGTGCCAACACCACATTAGCGACTGCGTCACTCCCTGATTCACCTGCAGGGGGCAGTAAAAAGTGTTACACGCAGTGCATCCCCAAGTTTACAGAGCTCAGGTAGGTGCTGAGAGCATTAACATGTAGCATAGCTCGAAACAGACACAGAACCAGAACCAGAAGTTAAACCTGAGATAAAATTTTCATTCAACCTTTATTTAGACTTTATTTAGACAAGTAAATCCCATGAATGAAAAAAATGAGCAACCCCCAGAGGCTGGCTGCAGTATAAACTTTAAATCTACGTAAATATATGAGAAACGCTGGTTCCAAAAATACAGCAGCGCATGCAAACAGGATATATTTAAAGTCTCTAATTAGGTGTTACCGATTCTCCCAGGTGGTCCTTGAATTCCCATTGGCCCAGCGAAACCTGGTCGTCCTTTCTCTCCCTTCATACCTGGAAAACACGCAGAGAACAACTCTTTCAGAACCAAACACCAACGGAACGAGCTGCAAACCGCTGTTATGTTTCATATCCAACAGATAACGTTGGATGGAGAGGTGATTCATTATATCCACAGACATTCAGTTTTAGTCAGTGAATAGCATTTTTATTTATGATTTACTGGAAGGCATCAAACCACCAGAATATTTCAGATCTGTCAGAAAGCCCAATGTAAACATTGATATCTGTTTAACAGAGTTCCAGTAAAACTAACCCTGAAGTCCAAGACCAGTATGTGTTAGGGTCTTAGATGTTTTAGGAGACAAGGTGTTCTTGTAGAAGCAGAAGACTGAAAATGAAGTGTCATGGATGTCAGTGTTTTGGTTAATCATGGCTACAGTGCTCTGAGAACGCTGATTGGAGTCAGAATGTACCACCACATTGATAAGCATTATGGTTGGTACTCACAAAGAAAGACTGAACCATTTAAACCATCTTATCACTGTTCAAATAAATCTCCCAGCTGTTAGTCCTTGATTTATTTGTATAATTATGATATAAACTTCCCACAACATTCCCCAAAGAGATGAAGCAAGGTAAGGAGAGAGATATCTGGCAGCTTATTCTTCAGCACCTCAGGGTGAATCTGATCTTGACATCTCGTTTTAGTGTTGATTCTCAGTTTCAGTCATAGGCCTCCTGACACCTTACCACCAGGACTTTTAATACATACCTTGGTGAAGATGATGGTCATAGTTCCCCCAGTGTCTACAGACTCTGCCTCTGACTACAAGGTGAAATGTTAACATCTTATCTTTATCTGTGGCATACACGATGCTTCATTCCTGACTGAGAGAATGCTCAGTACAGTTGTTTGCTTGTTTTTGGTTGTCCAGTAAATCCAAAGAAGTTGTCCACTTTTGTCTTTTAGCAGTGGGGTTTCTGATGACTGAGTAGTTCACCACATGTCCTACTCCAGATGGGACCTGTGTATGTAATGGTGATGTCACTGGAACATATCAATTTATTTAGCCGTTTGTCTTTTTTGTTATTTGAGAGATGGCCTTGTTCTAACTATCCAGGTCTTACATTGTCTACCAGCCACCAGGTATTTTTTTTTTGACCAATACCAGCCAGTCATCACTCTGTGATTATGGTCTGTGTTCTGCAGAGTTTCTCAGTGTGATGTATGAGTCGCACCAAGTGATCCCCAGGATGTGCTGAAGGCAGAGTCTGAGGAAACATTCCAGGGTCCTGATGTGCCAGCCATAAACTACCATAGCTTGGAACTGTACGAACATACTTTAGTGTGGAGGTGTAGGGTCTTGCTCTGAAAATCTCAATGTCTGATTTTTCCAAAGGTAGATGACACTTGGTAGATTTGGTTTTGGACCATGTTGTCAATGCTACTGTTTTTGGAAAGGATGCTCAATGGGTATTTGAATGATGTAAACCAGTTGTTGTGGGTGGAATGTTGACACTCTATTAGCAAACTACTTCTACTTTGATGGTGATGGTCAGCCCAGACCTGCTGCACCACAAACTGGCTGAAGGTCTGAGACACAAGAGTGCCATGATCTGAATACTGCAATTCAAGGACCGTCACCCGGTGCAGTTTGTAGGTTCGTTGTAGCCTCTCGATGTTGAAAAGGCTCTGATCATCCCAGTCTTTCCAACAAGTATAAATGGTTAAATGTCAAAACTGTGTCTAAATATGTATTTGGTTAAATATACTCAAAACCTGTGAGATCATTCCTATTAGACTATTTACCAAGAATAGATTGGTCTGAACCAGAAAGGCAAAATGTCTCTTGGAACCTGAATCTTGACCTGGGACTCAGTCTTCTGTTTGGTTCCTTGTTTTCAGGTCAGAATATGTTGGTCACCAATCTGAACAGGTTTCACCAGGCATCAGGTCATCGCACCTTGCCTCGTTTAAGTTTTCAGTTCATGAAATATACAAACAGTTTACATCCTATTATCAAAGGATTTCTGCCACGTCTCAGTCCAATAAAGGTGAGGAGGTGTACAGATGACATTAAACTACTTGGGTGCACCAGGAAATGTGTGTGGTAGTGTTCCAGCCTCGCCTGCTGTCCTCTGGTAGAATTTTTTCAATTCTGAAAAGTTTTATTCTGATGTTTGACAGAAGGCTTCACTAACCTGATGAGCTCCAACATGCAGATGTTTAGGAATAAAACAGACTCAGTTTAAAGGTATCAGCAGTAATCACTGTGTTTTTATGAGAGCTGCTTATCTGAGAGTTCTTACCAATTGGTCCTTTGGGCCCAATCTCGCCTCTTGTACCTTTAATTCCAGGAAGTCCTGGTGGTCCACAACAACCCTGCCAACAGGAACAAAACACCAAATGATTTCATCCAACATGGACTCAATGATAAAAACAAAGTTCCTCTTTTGTGTGTGTGGATGGTACTGACGGGACTGCCTTGTGGACCAGTGTCACCAGAAGGACCACTTGGTCCTTGGAGACCTGGTTCTCCTTTACGCCCTTTATCACCTTTGTAACCAGGACCTGGAGAGCCAGGAGGACCTTTACTGCCTGGCAGGCCTAAAGAAGAAGAGGGAACACTTTTTATTTGTCATATTCTGTAAGATGACAGGATGTTCAGAACTGAAAGTGTCCTCATCGCCTGAAAGACACACTGTGGCATATTCTGCTTGTTCTCGATACAATGGAATGGATTAATCTTCCAGATTTCAGGGGATTAAACAGCTTGTAGTCAGGTCGAGGGACATTTTTCAGCTTTGCTGACATTAAAGCCAGAGTCTGACTGGGCTGCAATTGTCAGAGACAAGTTGGTGAACAGCATTTCAGAGGGAGTCTCCAAAACGTCTCAAAATGTTTGTGGTGGTTCTCACTTTCTTTGTACGAGTCACAGAGTCACAAATCATGTTGCTGCAATTTTACACATGTTCAAAAATAATTGTGCAACAAATACTTTCTGAAATGTAGTCCAGAAGATTGAATTATAAATACTTGCCAAGCAGTGGTGTAGTCTACATTTTTGTAGTGGGTATACTGTGCTTAGAAACCAAAGTACACCAGTTAGTACAATGTAATCGTCAATTTATTTGGATTTTTAAGCATATTGAACATTTCCAAATTTCTCTGAAGCTTATATTTGAATAAATGAACAAATTTTGTACAACATTCGGCTTTGTATTAAAAACATGTTATAGAACTTATAAAACAGTATCAAAGTAAAACATGTTTAAGTATTAAGTAGTATATACTACGGCTTTAACAGACTACTCGAGTAATCGACAGGTTGATTCCTAGGACATCTGTCGAGTTTTAAAATTTCACATCGAGTATTCGTGGTGACGTCATTGTGTCACGTGATCCGCACCGGGCTACTAGTAGAAGCTACCAAATGGATTCCTCCCAGCAGATGGACTGAGCAGAGCAGGCCCAGTCTTGGCAAACAAGTAGAAATGCATCACTAGCATGGAAATATTTCACTAAAGATGAATCTTCTGGTTCAACTACCATAAGGAAACAAAAAATGAATCAACTACCTGACTGGTTGGAGCTTGTTGCGAACCGGTGTTATACCATATTCTGTGACCACCGTATATTGTGACCGTAGGGGGCGGTGTTGCATGCACTGTTGCAGGTCACAGAATATGGTGCAACACCGGGTCCAATCGACTGAACCAGAACAAGCTTCCTCTGACCTTGTTTCACAAACAAAAAGCAAAAAAAATATTAATCTCTAAACCTTTTAAAAAACCTATAAACATATTAATCTCTAAAACTAAACCTAATGCGCACCACAGCTGGCGGTGGAACGGGGTGGTCGACCGCCCCACTGTTTTGAGTTTCGTTTTTGATGTGCTGCACGTGATTTCTTTCACTTTTACAGCTTAATAATAAAAAATAGTTTTGGTTTTCCTGTGACTTATTTGCAGTATGATAAATAGTAGGAGCATAATATATGCTCCCAATGTTTTGTTGGTCTTTTTTTGTTGTTGTAAATAATAAATTATGTTTTTCTTGCGGTTTTATTTTATATTTTTCATTTTGAGATCCTATGATGTCATCAACTACTCGAGTTCTACTCGAGTTTTATTATGTTAATGTCGAGTTTAAAAATTTTGTAGTCGTTCAACCCCTAGTAGATACTGAAGTATACAATAATTTGCTGGATAAGCGAATGTCATAAACAAGTGCTGTATATAGATAGATTGTTACGGAAGTGTTTAACTGTCGTTTAACATATTAATGACACATGCCTAATGATTTGTCATGTATCACTGAGCCCTTCTAAGTGGGTATACTGAAAATCTTAAGCTTTTCTAGTGGGTATACGCTGTATACCCGTGTATCGCGTAGACTACACCACTGCTGCCAAGGTAGGTACAAAGTGATCCGAAGTGGGTACAATTTTTTTTAAATTGTTTATTTGGCTTTTATTTAAATCAGATCCATCAGCTGAAAACAAATTCTCATTATCAATGATGGCACGAGGCAGCAAATACACAAGTGGTAGGACAGAAGAAGAACATATAAACAACTGACAGCCAACATCAACTCGTACAGACCATGGGTACGTATAACAGTACAAGAACTAGAACAGGCCCGTGGTACCAGAATGTAACAACAGAGAGTGAAAAGGAGATTGCTAAAAGCATGTGCAACCATCGTCAAGTGAGGCTTTCACTGAGCGTTTAAAGAATATACACGGGATAAAAGAAGTGTTTTAGAGTCTGTTGGAAATGGTTTCGATTTGAACGGCCAAAGGAAGTGTTTGCTTCAGGATTGTGGGAGTACAGTCGGTGGACAACTAAATATTACACGTGGTCTGGCACGGTTTGGCAGGCTGTGAACATGAAAACAGGCAGTTATTTTCAGACAACTGGCCGCACAGCTGTATGGTTCATTGTTTGCTCAAGAATCAGAATTCAGTTCAAGATTCAACATTTTCTCAAAAATTTCTTACAATTTTGAGTCAACAACTGGTCTCCAGCAGTCACAGATTCAGAAACGGATTGTTGTCTCCACAGCAGCTCGCGAACTGTTCCACCTCACTCCTGTCAGATGTTTCATCGATGCTGATGTGATTTATCTGATTTATTGTATCCTGACGCGTTCAGACAAACCCTTCCGGCTGCGCCTGCATCCCAACTACTACCACACTGTCTTAACTCAGATGTGTCAAACTGACTGAGCTGGATCTATTTTTGTATTTGAAGAATTTAATTAAAATAGATAAACACACAGACACAAATACATGATCACCCACCTTCATGGCAGCAGGTGAGGACACAATAAACCCACCGTGAGACTGAACTCTGATGTGACCCCTCACCTTTGGGTCCTTTTCCTCCAGGATATCCCTCGTCTCCCTTCTCTCCATTAATGCAAATTCCCTTTGCTCCAGGACACCCAGCAGGACCAGGGGGTCCAGGAGGACCGGGGCAACCTGGGTCTCCTATAGAACCGAAGGGACCAGGGGGTCCACAGGATCCAGAGGGGCCTTTCTCTCCTGGATAACCTGGGTTTGGACAAGAAGAGGTATCTTTTTAGTTTTTCCTCAGATCGGACTGAACGTCAAACAAAACTGGACCTGAAGACTCACCAGGTTGACCATTGTCTCCATCCGGCCCCTTAGGTCCGACTCCAATTTCTGAGGTGAAACAAGAAATGAATCTGAAAGTTATTTAATCAAATTAAAGGCATAACAACAGCATGTGAGACTGTCATCAGTGGCTGTCATGAGAAGAACAATCTTCCCACAGCAACAACATATTTTGTGACCAAACTGGGATGAACACTTCATGAAGGTAAGAAGGAGCTTCTCTGAGGACAATATTATCATTTCTGTTGGTATTTTTACAGTAAATAGTGTTTCTGTTTGACAGATGAGTGAACTCCACATCATCGATCAGTGTTCACACACCTCTCTGTTTCTATAGTTAATGTTACCATGAGCGTTTTTCTCTTTTTACGTGTTTTATTAACAAAATTATAGTTTAATTCGCTTCACAGATCAGCATCAGTTGAACTTTAAAGGCCCCAAATGAAAAGTTGTGTTTTTTAGCTGCTTTGTATTTTAAATACCAAAACGGTGACAAAGCTGCGATGTGCTAAAACGTGGAGCAGTTCCAGAGTGGGATTCTGGTTAAGAGGAACAACTGGACCAGCAGAGACCCACACATCAAACAGAAAACCAGAAACATCCATCCATCCATCCATCCATCCATCCATCCATCCATCCATCCATCCATCCATCCATTATCTTTACCCGCTCTTTCATTTTTGAGTTGCAGGGGTCACTGGGGTCCATGTACAGCTATCACTGTGTGAGAGGTGGGGGACACCCTGGACAGGTCTCCAGTCCATCACAGGGACACATAGAGACAAACAAGTCAAACAACCATTCACTCTCTCACTCACACCTCGGGACAATTTAGAGTTACCAATCAGTTTAACATGCATGTTTTTGGTCTGTGGGAGGCAACTGGAGTACCCGGAGAAAATCCATGCATACACTGAGAGAACATGCAAACTCCACCCAGAATGGTACCAGGCTGGGATTTGAACCAACAACTTTCTCGCTGAGAAGCAACAGCTCTACCAACTGAGCCACCAACCAGAAACATGAATAGAGGAAATGATGACTTTTGAACTGATAAGTTGTGGTCTGCCCCGCCCCTTTTTGGAGTAAAAAAAAACACAACAAACTGTAAAAATCATAGCGACAAACTAAAATTAGCAGCAAGGGAAAAAAAAGTCATCACTTCATGACAAAAAAAAAAAAAAATCCACAATGTGGATGTCAACAGTTATTTATTCTTTTATTTTTATAGAGTTATTTTTATCCATACCACTATTTAATGAAAGTAAAAGCCACATGTTACCCTACATTAAAGGATGCTAGTTAGCATGTGTAAAATAAGTAACTTCCACTCATGACTAACAGCTAAATAAACCAGTTTAATAAAGAAGAGCATGACGACTGAGAGAAATATATCCCCTCTCTGTCTGCATGTGACCGTGCAGTTGGTCCAGTCTGATGAACTTCAGCTCATATTTCTGAAAGTCTTTCTGTAAAGACCATTGATCATCAGGAACATAAACAATGGTTTGACTGACTTACAGAATATTTAGGCACTTAAAGCAATGTTGTTAGCAAATTTCATTTACTGCAGTGCCAGTCAAAGTCAAGGGGTTGCTTTCATCCAAAAGTGGGCGGAGTTTTGTGTAGATGCTGGAACCCAAATCAGGGATCTGGAATGGCCCAGTTTTAACTCGGGGTTATTATTATTTATTTTGCCCAAATAAAACCACAGATCTGGGTTTTGAAGGTTATTGATCAGGACTCCTCACAGACAGCAGAACAACTTAAGACTGCCAGATTCTCAAATACTCAAAGAGGTGAAGTTTGGACTGTTACATCCAACCAACAGCAAACACATGCCTGACTACATTTATATGAAACTGTAAGTTTATAAGTCTTTCGTTCTTATGATTCAAAGACCACAGACTGAGTTTTAAGTCTCAAAATGTTTTATCACTCCTACCCCCAACATCCAGTTAGATCTGGTCTACCCATCCAACATCTGCTTCTACAAGATCCAACGGACCCCTCAAACCCAGTCATAATCTAACATGAGCTGTTTTACCTCCCATGGTTCCTTTCTCTCCAGGAGGTCCAGGAATCCTATCCTGTCCCTGGTTCCCTTTAGGACCAGCTGGACCAGGATTTCCAGGAGGTCCATTAGGTCCTGAGGACACAAATCAGATTATAAGTCCCTGAGAGGACGGTTTTGGAGAACTGACCTAGAGTCCAGCTGAGCACCGGTTCACATACCTGGGGGTCCATGGCATCCTGGAGGGCCTTTGTCCCCTAGAAGACCATCTAAGCCCTTCTCACCAGGACACCCAGGAGGACCTGGGACCAAAGGTTTTCATTTAGCTTGTGTGAAACAAATCTCTGAGGTCAGTAGCTGTTGTTGTTTTTAATAAAGAATAAATGCTTGGATACCAAAGTGTGACAATGAGCTTCATTTATACAAAACTTTTATAAAACAAGTTTATATTTAGAATTTCTTGTCTTTTTCAAACTGGACCCAAGACAAACCAACAGCTGTGAGACATGCTGGAGCATTTTCTTTGGTGTTATTCACTTTATGAATCACAAACAAAAAACAGGAAATGTAACTGTCGGACCTCTGCTTCCAGGTAGTCCTGTGGGTCCTTCTGGCCCACAAGGACCACATGGTCCCGGAGGGCCAAAGTTTCCACGATGTCCTGGTGGTCCCTTTGGTCCTGGACTTCCAGGACATCCTGGAACTCCCTGTGGAGGATAACAACCTGTGTCATAACTCTGGATGACTTGTCTCAGACCTCTTTGTTTCCTCCTTGAGGAACCATGGAGTTATTCTGATCCAGGTTTCTGGTTTTTGCTGAGTGTTGTTTAAACACGATGCAGCAGATTTATGCACCAGAGTTGATGAAGTCTCATCAGATCATTGTGCTCATTCAGGCCCAATACCTCCTCTCCTTGGGGGCCTTTAGCTCCTGGTCCTGGTTGACTTGGTTCTCCTTTAGAACCTTTATTTACATTTTGTCCTGGTAGTCCTTCTAAACCGGGCTCTCCACTAGTCCCCGTTGAGCCTTTCTCACCTTTATAACCTGGAGGAAAAACGAAGATGAAGGAAGTTTATCTCTGGGTTATAAATGTTGCTGGAGATTAAAATAAAGTTTATGTTTCATTAAAAATGGTTTTAATATGGTCTAACAAGGTCAAGTCAGGTCCTCTGGACGAATTCTTCTTCGTTGAAACATTTCGTCTTTTATTCAAAAGACTTCTTCAGTCTAAAGGTAAAGAAGTCCGAGAGGATCTGTGTGTGTTTGTGATCCTTGTGTCATCTGTCCTGCCCTCCTCAGTGTTTCTCCCTCATGTGATCAGCTCCTGCCTCTGCCACCTGTTGTCCTTCCCCAAGTGTTTGTGTTTATCCCCTCATTAGT